TTTTTTATTTACTATGTAAAAATTCAATATACCATGCAGATCATATGAAAAATGATCTACGTACACCCTACCCTTAACGTTAATAGTAACAACCAGTATAACAAATAATAGAAATATTTACATAAAATACTGTATCAATACGTTTTCGTGTAACCGTGATATACTTTTGGATCACGCCATTATGTATTACTATCGTTATGTTTTGGGTCTTAGTCGTGAATCGAGTTTGCTTATCTGACCAACTAGTGTTAGCATGATAGGTACGTACGTATGTATATACAGTATAGTTCAGATTGTGTGTGAATTGAATACTATAAATAGGCTTAAGTGAGCTTCAATTATCAAACGATGATTAGAAATTAGAGAAAATCGATAGCGATCATTTTTATTAGTAATAAAGATTATATCGATTGGAGGATAAATTGTATAATTCTCATTATATATCTAAGCCATAATGAGTCATCATGATAAGAGATGCTATAATGGATATTGTTAAAAGTTCATAATGGTCTGGATGGTGAGAATCGAGATTCGGAACCTATTTGTGGGGGCACTATCAAAAGAGGAAATATTAATCCCTTAATTAATAATATATCATATATTAACGTTAGATATTAACGTTTAAAATAATAAGTATAATAAGAACAAGAAAGGTTCACGAAATCAAATACAAATAAAATGTATTAATTAGCATATATATGTTTTTTATAGGAACTATAATATATTATACGTATACATATTATTTTGTACGTGTCGTTTTGGTATATATAATTATGCAAACAGGCAAGATTTTTTTTTACTATAGCAACTTGTGCGCAGATCATCGATTACGTACGTACTTACGTATAGGATCGTACGTATATCGATATACTGTATTTGAATTAAAGTTGGTTACTATACATACCTTATACGTGTATAATAGCTTTTCGTTTTGGGTTATTATTATAACGATAATAAAATATGTACTAAATAAGTATCTATAACGGTAATCAGATTTTTAAAATCTTTGTAATTATGAATCCGTATGCATTGGAAGATAAGAAATCTGCACTTCCCCCATATTTCAAGATGTAGATGTGCAGCGTAAGTTTCTTACGTATTAGGAAATAAAACTAAGATGAGGTCAATTGTAATATTAGCATTATTAACACTTAGTAAATATATTACATCTTACATATTACACTATATTGATATTGTTTCAAATTTCATTTAACATTATATACTGTATTATTATTATTATCTTTTAATACCATTAACACTTTAAATGAAATCAATAATATATATTAAACACTATATAGTAACTTGTTTTTTTCATTTTTTTTTATATTGATAATATTTATATAATAAAGTTCCAAAATTTTTTTTTCAAAATTTATGAAGTTATCAAAACAATTTTTTTGTATACGTATAACGAACTGTAAAATAAAGAGGGATATTAAAAAGGAAAAAAGAAAACTGTAAAGCTGAATGCTGTAGAATAAAAAAAATAAAATTTAAGTCAGATTTCCAATCAAATATAGAAAAATTAAAGAAAAATCCAGAGTAATTTTTCAAACAATAATATTAAATAGGATAATGATTAAAAACTGTCCATAAACACTGAAAGAAATGAAGACATGCAATCTGGAATAGTAAAAAAAAATTTTTTTATATTAAATCCAATATTATTGATAACGAAAATTAGGTGTAGCCAAAGACAAAAAAAAAGCTTCAATATTCTTATATTTAAACTATATAAGTCTTCCCATCATGAATCATTCCGCCACTTGTTCCAATAGTTAAATAACCACCTTTGCCTTTTAAGTCCAATTTTTCAAGAAGCGTATGATACAAAAATTTGTATGCCCAAAGATTACCCTTTATTCTTTTGATATCCACAATGTATAATCCAGGAAGATTCTTAAGACGACATAGTTCTACTGCAAACCTGATTTCATCACCCGAATCTGTCGTCGGATCACCATATAATACTTCTGGTAATAATGATGGGGCGGGACAATCGGTTGGGCTCGTAATTGTCATCATTGGACCTATTGTCGGACTAGTTGGTGCAGAAGCAGATACTGACTCCTCTGATCGATTTAATTTATGGCTTTGTGACAATGACGATGTAGATAATAATTGATTGGTATTGTGTGAACTTGTACGACGCAACAGTGTTTTAAATGCCCCACTAGTATATTTTTTACGCTTCTTTTCAATGGACAAATCTGATGTACTTTCAGAACTTTCTAATGTTGCCAAAGTGTCCTTGCTCTTTATAGACTTATCTTTAGCAGATGGTTTGTTTTCAACCTTTCTCTTGCGCCTCACGCATCTAACTTTGAATTCTCCTTCTCGCTTTATTTCTATACCCATACTAACTAAAGTTTGTTTGATTACTATGAAAATTTCATATGGTGGTCGCTCTGTCAAAGCTAAATTATCAACTGCACCATGATGTAAACGAAGTTTAGAGTCCACATTAGCCATTGATGTCATTGTAGACTGGCGTGATGATGAAGTTGAATTTGTACTACTATTAGGTTGTGTAACAACTACTGCCGGATTATTTTTTGGTCTCTTGGATTTACTCTTGGAATGATTAGTAGAAATGTCTCCATTTGTTCCAGTTTTGTCAACCTTAGCAATCTTGTTATGAATATGTACACCTTGATCCCTTGCTGTTATTAAAAAATTTACATAATAATTTATTAGAAATAATTATTTATCAAAATATATATAATATATTTTTATATTTGTAACAAATCCACACTGCTTACCCAAAGATTTTCTTCTAAACCAATCCATAACTTTCTTAGCAGCATTAGAACTACTAGAAGACATACCACTGCCGAGGGTTTTTCTTTTATCTTTTGTTGATACATTATTGTTTGAAACAATACTATGCGCTGAATGACTATTTGGCCCTTTAAATGTTTCAACCATAAGGCTCAAAGCTTTCCTCTTACCACCTCTCTTACTCCTAGAATCACTACCATCATCCATAAGACTAGTTGAATCAGATGCTGTATCAGAATGTATATCAATATTTTGAGATGGTGGTAGTGGTAATTGTGTTGGTTGTAAGGGTAAAGTTCTTGAATTAATCGCCGATTCTTTGATAATATCAGAATTGTTAGTGTGATTTGTAACTGATGTTCCATTTTCTATTGGCGATGGGCTATTTCCTGTATTTTGAATAATTTTTTCAGAAGAAGCTTTTTTATGTCTCTTTTGGCTTACAGATGATAATGAATCTTGACGATCCGGAATTGCGGGTAAAGGCATGGTGGGCGGTGTGGTTGAGGGTGGAAGTTTTTGTTGTAGTAAATTATCATTGTTATTTTGTGTAATATTCGAAGATGCATTTGTAGAATTTTGTTTATACCCTGGTACCATTGATAGAAAATCTTGGGATCCCGTTGGAGGACCATGTACAGTCACAGGTCTAGTACGTGGCGCATCCCTCTTTTTTGGTGTTTGAGATGAACTTTTCTGTAAATCCGATTGGCAATTGTCATTTGGAGGTGGTAAAACAAGATTACTATTTACATTATTAATTCGTGGTGTTTTAATATCTGTGATTTGATTTTTATTATTGGAATCACTTTCAAACAAAGTAAACAAGCCATTGCCTGCATTTGCTGAATTTCTTGTAGTTGTTGATGGTGTTCCTGGTGGCGTACTTCCTGGTCCACTACTTTTATCTGAATTACCAGATCCGGTTGATGTTATACTAAAGTGTTTCTCTGTTTTAGAATATGGTGTAGCCACTACAAGATTTTGTGAAGTATCATTTTTGGTAGTGTCATAATCATTTATTAATATCTCTTCCTGTTCTTCAGCTAATATCATGTCTGATGTTGCTACAGGTACAATGGTCGAACCAAGACGAGTTCCATCGACAAATTGAAAATCATCATCGGGATAATCAATATATCCCTCATGATTATTATCATTATCAGGGTAATCGTATTCTACTTGAATAGTATGACGTTTAACGGTAATATTACCAGAAGCAGCGTTCTCTTGATCCACAGCATAATCAGTAGTTAAGAAATTGTTTGAAATAGAAACTCCAGATTGGATATATGCATCTTGTGATGCTAATGAGTTCATCGGATTTGCAGCTTCCTGTATAAAATATAAATGATCAGGAAAATCTAAATTATCTATCATCTTTAGAAAATTCTATTTGTATTTGAGTAAAATTTTTTTTTTTTTTCGAAATAAAACAATCACCTCCAATTCTTGGATAGAATATTCAAATAATGATGAATATGGTGCCAACCATCTAATAAAATCATAAGAAATATTATTAGTAATAATAAAGTAAATTAAATAAATTAAATAGAATAAAATCACAAATAAAGATTATTAATAATAATAAAGTAAGTTAAATAAAAATTAAATAAAATTAAATATAATAAATTTACCTATGAGACATTATAGTTTTCATATCACATCTCTTTGCTGGATCAGGGACAAGCATCTTTCTAAGTAAATCCCTAGCATCAGGGCTTACGTATTCGGGGAACACCAACGGAGTATTAATAATGTATTTGTATAATAGATTTATATTATCACCATCGGGGTTTGAAGGATCATCATCAAAAGGAAGATATCCTGACAACATGGCGTACTATTACCAAATAAATAAGTCACACACATTATATAGATGAAAGAAGGGTAGATTAAAATGAATAAATCATAAATTACGTACTAGAATAACACCACAACTCCAAATATCTACAGCACTTCCGACATATAACCCTTCGCTGATTACCAACTCTGGTGCAGCATAACAAGGACTACCACAAGATGTAGCCATCAAATCATCATGAGCACCATTGAATTGATTTGCAAATCCAAAATCAGTAATTATAATATTTCTATTACGATCTAATAAAAGATTTTCCTTTTTTTTTTAAAAAAAAAATCCACATAGTAAATATTTAAAATAAACATATTAAAAAACAAAAAAATAAAATAAAACATAATATAACATACTAATTTAAGATCACGATGCACGATATTTTTTTGATGTAAATAATTCACTCCACTAATGAGTTGAGCAAACAATCGACAAGCATCTCGTTCTTTGAGGTATCGATGTGCTAATATATGATCAAAAAGTTCACCACCTATTTAAAAGTTTATTTATATACACAAAAAATTATTAATTAATTCGTTACAATATAAATATTATCTATATGTGTAATGTGTAAATATATAGATTTTACTTACCTGAGGCGTATTCCATGATAATGCCAATATACCGATCTGCCTCGAACACGTCATATAATTTTACAATATTAGGATGCATCACACTCTATCGACGTATCGAAATAATTTAGAAATGATATAATATTTAAAATATTGATAAAAAAAAAAAAATAAATAAGAGTTAATTTATTCATTACCCGTAATACTCCTATTTCTCTTTCAATTTTTGTTAGTCGAGATGGGGTATCTACAGAATCTTTACGTATGAGTTTGATTGCGACCTTTTAAATATTTTAAAAATTTTGAAATTATTTGAATTTTCAAAAAATGACACGATTAGCAGTTATAATAGGTTAAAAAAAAAACTTTCAGAGAAAGCAAAGATCAAAGTTAGAAAAGAATTAATTCTAAGATTCGTAATACAAAGATCTTACCTCTTCACCGGTGTCCACGTGCATGCCAAGTTTAACTTTGCCGAATTCACCTTCGCCCAAAGTTTGTAACAGTAGGTATGGACCAAACATATTGCCTCTTCGTGTGGATGCGGAGTTTTGAGATACTTGTGAAGGGTGGGATACTTCAGGATATCGAGGATAGTTCATTGGAACAGGAGTTGAAACAGGACGACCTCTAGCAGACTGTAGTTGGACATGCTGAGGATGGGCAGAATTTGGCTGTTGTGTGGATAAGTGAATTGTTGCCGCCATTAATGCAGGAATTTTAGGTGTATAGTGTACCAAAATTGTTTGATGATGAAGGCTAAGTGTGAAAAAGAGAGTTTATAAGCTATTGACGCTAGGAAAAGAAAATCTATTAAGAGCTAAGTGTTCTCTTTTTATTTTAAAGACTTCAGAGAAATTAAAGAGGATGTATACGTGTAGGTATACAACTTTGGGCTTCTTGAGCCCGAAAAGAGAAAAGAGCGCGGTGCGATAAACTGAACGGGGGGAGTGACCGATAAACCAGGGTTCGTTGACAGACGGCTTTGGTTTTCTGTTTGTGGTCTTGTGAGGTACTTTCTTGGGGATAAAGTTCCGGATTGGACAAAGTCTTAAAGGTGAACCATGAGCCTATCAAAATATTAGAACATGTTTCACGGCTGACCGTATATATATTACATAAAAAAAAACAAGAATTTGCAAAAAGGATCAATATGTATTGCACAAGCCGATGAGAACCAGTGATAATTCCAGGAAGGAAATTATGCCATTTATTCTAAAATAAAATTATCCGTGTTCGGAGAGACCATCATTTAGTCGGAAAATATAAACATAATTTTTTGGTATAACAAACGAACATTAAACCAGAGCGAATGCCTAAGTCCGAAAAGGTCAAATGATTAAAAATACCAATAATCTATTCAATAATATAATTCGATTTAAAACCCTGGAACCTCTAAAGAATGTTAATATATCGCGGTATAACATGATAGGTTCTTGACATGTAGGGAAGTTAAGTACAACGTGCACAAGAGATAATTAAAATAATCTTTAGTTATCCAAATCAGCAATCATCAAAAATAAGTAATAATTTTTGTAATTCCTAACATAAAGGTACAAAATGTATTGTTTGCATTTTATCAAGCCAATACGTGTTGAAATTCATTTAAATGACAAACATTGATCATCATGTCGACCAAATTTTAAGAATTCGGCTAACGCTAACATTACAAATTATACGTACGTATAAAGGTTTAATTACCCGATATAAAAAAAAAAATTTTTTTAACTAATGAAATCGGGTGAATCGGGTACGTATTGGTACTCAAAGCAAATATTACTAATCATCCCTGTACCAATGCATCAAGATCATATTAATCTAAGGGGATCAAAATAAGTAAATTAGATTACTTTACCGTTTTATCAAAGGAGGTTTTTTTTTTTTTGAAAGTCCAAAAATTCACCATTTAAAGCTAAAAAGGGGAAAAAAACAAATACATATCTGACATAGGTACGATCAACTGACCTGTGAAACCAACTTTCAAACAAGATTATTACAATTAAATATCTGGCGCAGTTTTCCTGATACGTAAATCCAATACTAGATACGTAATGGTAAATAGATAATCAAAAATTGGTACTACGATTTGATAACGATACAAAGAGTGATCCGTGCGAAGAACAGGTAATTTCAATTTTCGGCTTTTAGACTAGACCACAGCTAGGCATATTGGTATATTCATCAGTATATCATTGAAGCCACATACATAACGTGATCTCTTCCATCACCTTAAAGCATTATTATTGAATATTGAATACTAAAATGCGTGCAACCTAAAAATGCGAGCGATTGACTGAAATAAATTTTACGATAAAACTTTTTTATTAGAAAAATGTAGTTGCATGAATACATCATACGTATTGATCATTCTGAAGACGGCGATAGATGATTGGCGCAAATCTGCACCATAACCCAATCCCCAATAAGTTTTTCTTCTATCCTTTATGTTCTCAATAAATTTAAATAATGCAATATTAAGTTTTTGAATTTACAAAAAATATATACATTTGAGAAATTATTTTTACGCTCAAAATACCAATTAAATAAAGAAATTGATAAAAGAATTGCCAAAAAAATGATTACTATTGTATAAGTTAATGTTCATCAGTGTTCATCAATGTCATCATGAGACGTTATAATGTTAAAAGATTCATCTAAAAGATTCACCTAAAAGATTCACCTAAAAGATTCACCTAAAAGATTGTTGTTAATAATCCATCATTACTAATAAAAATGTAAAGCTTTCACGCCAATTTCACCCTATACAAGAAAAGAAATATAAAATATTTAAATTTTTCAAATTCGAATCACTATCAAGAATCTCAAGAAGCTTCATCGTTGTCAATTGATCCAGGAATTGGAATAATTGAAAAATAAGTCTACCTGGTCAATTGACAACACGGTAAAATATCAAACAAATTACTTACAATAGCTACAAAAACAGCCACAACAATCAACCAGATTATAATCCACGTAATGCGTGTCATATTGTAACTACCAACATCTTCACGCAACATATCCAATAAATCGCTAATGACTTTACATCGGTCATTAAGGAGTTTAGCCCGTTGAGAAATTTCAAGATATGCTAAGAACCGAATAGCATTAATAATGTTTTCTAAATAATATTTTTCTTTTATGTCTATAAAGTACTAGTGAATTACCTCTAATAGCACTATACAGTGGATCCAAGGACGGCTCTGACCAAAATATTTCAGGAGTATCTATAAAGAAATATATAGTATATATGATATGTACGTTATAATAATAATAAATAGTAATAATAAATAATAATAAAGAATAATAGTAACTAATAATAATAATTAATAATAATAATAATAATTAATAATAATAATTAATAATAATAAGAATAATAATAAATAAGAATAACAATATTAACAATAACAATAACAACAATAATAATAACAATAATAATAATAATAACAATAATAATTATATTATTATTAAATAAACATTTATAAAATAATCAAATAATTTCTAAAGTTACCTAAAACATTGGATACTAAGTTAACATTCATTCGTAATTTAAACATTTCACCGCTTAACTTTGTGACTTGAATTCGATTCCTGGAAATATACAAACCACCATTTTTTTTAATTTTTTTTTTAACCATTTAAATAACAATAGCTTGCAAACTTACAAATCCAAACGGCCAGTTTGAGCCAACATTTTTGGTATATGTTTTGTCCTATCGATAGTATTTTCCATTTGCCATTCATATAAAGTTAATTTTGTACTTTGACTCATAGCATGACTGATAGTTAATTTAATCATATGATTATCAGACTTTAAAGTAATCATATCATTGAAAATTCTAGGTTGTCTGGTGGAATTAAGATCATATTGAAAATGAAAAGTCTCACATTCAACATCATCATCTTTTAATAAACGAACCGAAACATTTGACATAGCAAGATCATCAAGAATCATTTGTTCTTGATCTTCAGTCATATTCCAAAATACAACTACACCATAATCAAAATAAAAAACTTCACCAATATTTGAGAGTGTATTTTGAGTAGGTTTTGGTAAAGGATCACTTATTCCAACATTATCATAACCATCTTCATTTTCAGACATTACAAAATAAGAATTTACTTCATTATTTTCGAAATTTTCTATCTGCCTTTCCATAAAAGAATGTCCATTTGGAGAGTGTACTGCAGTGGAAGAAGAAATCTTTGTAGTTCTGCCTCTCAACAATGGAAAATGGTAAGGAGCATATACACATTCATCATATAACCTACGTAATAAATATTTAACAATAAATTAATTAATAAAAATAGATAAAAATAGATATAAATGAATATAGATATAAATGAATTGATATAAATACAATTATTGATACGGTACATTGGTTGAACATTGTGCTCTTCTCTCAAAAATCTCATCAACTTTTTAAGATAATAACCTTCAGCCGTACAATAAGCAGTTGCCCTTTTAATTAGATCAATTAAATTAAAAGATTAATTAAAAGATTAATCAAATTAGAAAATTAGATTATTATTAAATTTATTATTTAATAATTGCATTAACAAACGTATAGATACCTAGGATATTTGTTGATTTCTCTACTTTCTTTGGGCATTCTTTCAGCATCGGTAGAATCATAATTATTAACTGGAGGGTGTGGAACTAAAGGAGTGACAGGCGTTTCAGCATAGTCAGAAAGCTCACTAGGTGGTACATCGGCTTCTTCAGGAAGTAAAACTAGTTTTTGAGCGGTTTTTGTAGTTCGTGAAGGAGCATTAAGTTTTATCCTGCTTCCAGACATGGTGGATTGTGTGGTAGGAATTATTAGAGGATAAGGTGGTTTTTTAACTCTCACTTGAGTCGTTCCAGGAGAACTTGCTACGTCAGGCTGTTGAAATTTAAGTTGTGCAGTACGAGGAGAAACAGCATTCTCAGTCAATTCAAAGGCAGTTACAAAATCCGCTGATTCAGACATTTTTTAATTGTTTCTACGAAAATGCGATATGTATCAGATATAAATTTCCTCATCAATCAAAAGTAACACTACACTATTTCACGAGATTGTATAATCTGTGTTACTGTTGCAAAACTTACATTTTTGATAATCCTGCACTTACTTTTTTGACACACTAAATTTTTTATACTTTTTATTAAAGTTTTATTATAAAAACATACAGTCCTATTGGTTAGTTTTAGGGTATGTTTAGGTGTATCAAAAAAGTAAGTGCAAAAGTATCAAAAAACTTAAGATTTTGCGTTACTGTTCATTATTCATAGGAAGACATTCATCTGATTGGCTAATTTTTGTTGATTTCCCGTGACAATTAACCAATCAAATTACATAATTTATGGGAGAATCGTAGACGAGCGAAACTTACATATTCTTTATTAATTATTCTTTATTAATTAAAGTAGAGTGTAGACAACACCAGGGTGGCCTTTTCAACGTTCGGGTTGATGGTCATTGTCATTGCTACAGCATATAATTAGTAAATGATTTGTAATGGCTGTTCTGTGTAAATAAGCTGCAGATTGGTCTCATCCACCGATTTGGTTTCACCCCAAAATTAGCAATCATGATCGAGAATTATTTGCTATTAAAACTTATTACAAAGCAAGTTTTTACAACAACGGTTTTTTAAACTTACTTTTAATCCATAATTAAGTGTATAGAATTTTTTTTTTTTTTTTTTTTTTATACCTTCGCAATGTCGTGGAAGGGTGGATTTTTATTAGGTATTTTAGTGATACATTTTTGGTTAGCGAGAGTATATATAGCCACACATGCAACTTTTGGTCATCTAATTTAAGTAGTCCGCCCGAAGGTTCTACACTATATGCTATACCTGTAACTTAACTAGGAGATTACCTATTTAAACCCTCTGACGTCTCCCATCCTGCACCACCACCACAATCACACCAATCCATAACCTCATGCTGCTTTTTATTGAAAACCACCCAGATCAACATTTGCTATACTACTTGCACCCTAATTCTATAGATAGCCCAGTAGGATCTACATACCAGGTTACCCTAGGGAGGGTGTAGTACATATTCCCCTAATCTTTCTATGTCCCATGCACTTCCAGATTAGGCTACGAATACTTTCTGCAGCAGCCGAAACCACTACTAGCAGTCAGGGCGAACCATTAAACTGTACAATTCCAGTATCCGATGCCCTTGCAAGGTTCGTTCCAATCCTGATACCCACATCAAGCCGGTCCTTATACCAATCCCTCCCCAACTACCGAACCAGTTAGCCTGAACGGGTCGTTGTACCTAGGCTTTAAGTGCCTTCTGGTTTTACTTCCCTTGGTTCCCAATTCTGTAGCATAGGACCTTTTCCTCCGATGCGACTCCGGCGGCCAGGTTGTGGACCCTTCTTGCCTCAGGGTTTTTGTCCGGTTCTTCGGTCTTCAGTTTTCAACTTTCCGCAATATCGTCGAAGATCTTTACTACCTCCTTACTCGGGTCTTGCCAAACAGGTTTCAATTATTCCGGTTCCTTGAATTTGGATCGCTCAAGAGCTTCTATTTCGAGATGGTAGTACCAAGATTACAGGTGATATACCCAACTGATCGTCGAATAATTGTTACCGGAACACAGGCCTATTTTTCTAAAATCGTTTCCAGTGGGATTCAAACTCTAGACCTGCTGCTTGGGAGGTGACAACTTAACCACTACTCTAAATCGCCACATCCTTAGAATATTTTAATATTTACATATTTAATTATTAGCTGAAAGTAAATTAAAAAGGTAGTTTTTCTGAAAATTGCTTCCAAATTTACCCTTACCCTTATACAACTGATTGTTCAATGACAAACCGATTCTTCACTACCCAAAAATACCCTAGCACTTCAACAACTAGTGATAGTGCTTCCTTTTACAGCTTGACATAGCTGTTCTTTGAATATTTATTGCTTATTTATCTCATATAGAGGCCAAAAAAACTATTTTATTTGAAGGTTTCATTTGTTATTCTTTATGTTACTTAATAACAGAAGTTGTGTAATGGATTATCGAAAAAAGACCTCTAAAAATCAAACTAGTAGATATGTATATTATTTAATATATAATATAATTTGATCAGAATTATATGGGATTTTTGCTAGAAAAATAACTCTCCGAAGCAATATTGATTTTGTGAATAGAAATTAAATATGCTAATCATTTAATCATCCAATTTGAATGATTTTTTTATTTTATAAAGCTTATTTAGCTTTATAAAATAAAAAAAGATTTATTATATTCAAATTAGATAACCAGATAGTTGGCAAATTTAATTTTTATTCACAAAATCAATATAATTACAAAAGATTATTTTTCTAGCAAAGATTTCATATGCTATAGCAATTATATTAATTATTAATCTAAACTTTTTTTTTTTTTTTTTTTTATCTCCTACATCTCGAAGGTCCTTAAATACCTTGGATCTTTTACATCTCTCAAAAGGCCAGAGTTTTTATATTTGTGGAGATTATCGGTATAGTGAATTGGCCACCTATATATCACTGTACTGGTAAGGAAACTTATGCTTTGTTAAGTATGTCATATGATGTCTCAGGATCCTATATTGTGGTATAGGTTCTACATTTTCTATATTTGCAGTTCTCTAACTTCATATGATCCACAAGTCAGATCATTCTTTTATATATCCTTAAGCTGAGTTTTTCTCAATTTTAGCATTATTTGTTGATGGATTATGCTTTATCTGGTTATCTCAGCCCTGTGGCTATACCAGCAGACTGCAACTTGTACAAGTCTTGTTTTTTATTTATTAATGAAAAATTCTCTAAAGATCTTAGCCAATCGTGGTCTTGACAGAGCTATTTGTCACCCAATGAAACTCAAACTCACAACCTTGCAATTGTGATTTAGGAGTGCTAACCCTTATGCTATTGACTTACAGGTCTTTTAACTTAAACTTCAGAAAGTATTAATAAAATAAATATTAAAATTTTTATTTAATTTTAAATTATAAAATAATTATTAATATATAACAAAAAAAAATTTTAATTTACAGTATATTAGTATATATACAAGTATTAATCTGTAGTTTGCAAATTTTATAACATGCAAATTTTATAACCAAGAAATTAAATCTTTGTTTTTAGTTAGGTTAAAAGTTGGTTTAGAATTAAGATGAGATATTAATTTATAGTAAAAATCATAAGTATCTTACCTCCTCAAACTTTTAAATAGAAAAGTTACAGTTTTAAAATTTTTATAGCAAATAATATTAAATAAATATAGATTAGTATCAAAATTTTATACTTTTTTATTATTATAAGAAAAGTTAGATAAGAATTAAAATTTTAATATAAAATTAAATAATTAAGACTAATTTTAACCACCCGTTATTTACTATTAATTTTTATTTCAATTTTAAATTAAAATTATTAAAATTAGAATTAATATTATAAAAAGAGATAAAGTTTAGAGTTAGGGTTAAAGATAGGCTAGAATAAGGTTTTTTATAATGCTGAATATTTTTACTTAATATATCAAATATGATTATTTAGTCTAGTTTTTAAGATAGCATGATGGGGTGGTTATGTAACCAGAAGAGCAAATTAGCAACACTCAAATTAAATTTAATTAAAAATTAATAAAAATATAGAATTTATAAAATACTCAACTTTCCTTGTCAATCATTTATACCAAACTTATGATTAATAAAAAACAGAAACCTGTTAGAGAAAAGTAGAAGAAACAACTATGTATAATAGTTTTTATAGAGGTCAAGAACTTCTACATTTTCTTCAGATTCTCTGTATATTCAGCATACAAGTTAAAAGTGTTCTAGCACAAGATAACTGACAAAAAAAAAGATGTCTTTATACAGAAAATTTTAATAGAAGCACTGCTTCTGCTAACGAAATAAAAGTTAGTTGGTTTAAGAAGAACAACAAGCAAGTTTTCAACACTTTCCTTATCAAAGTTTGAAGCTATTTGCAAACTGAAACCCTTCTCTATACTCCACTCTTGGCCTTTATGAAATTTTATCAAAAAGTAGAAAATATAACATACCAGAACCCCAATGAATTCTGGTATAATTCAGATATTACTAAAAAAGAAACTTTTGTATAGAAATTTATCAAACATTACATTTTTATATAGTAAATTTTTAAATTTTAGTCCTTTTTTTTTTTTTTTAAGTTTTATAACTAGCCTTTTTAGGACTACAGTTTTTATTCAAGTTTATAGATAAAGGGCTTGCTTATAGAACCCCGATACATTTATATGCAAACCTAGCTTGTATTACTAATATTTCTTTATCACAATTACCTGTTATAAGAAGTCCCAGATGTTTTCTTGATACTTTTAGGACTAATTTATCCTTGAGGCGTCATTAGCTAGAGCTTTTCATACCTACAATCTGGCTAACCTAGACTTTAATAACTTACACCGAGTTTGAGAACAAGTACTTGCAAGCTGAAGCCACTACCGTTACCTACTTCTGCTCTTGCAAAGTTCATCTAAACCCCAGCATACACTTTACAGACTATCACCAGTACCTAAGTTCTGTAAGTAACCTAAACTCCCAATCCAGATAGCTCAGAGGGGCTGTGATCTGCCGCTGGTCCCCACAGTTGGGTCTTTTTCCTCCAGTTACTTGTTTAGCGGCCTGGTTGGTATAGTGTCTTGCCAAACACCAGTCCTTATCCAGACTAATAAAATCGGTGTCCAGATCCCTTAGATAGCCTTTTACACAATACCGTTAAAAATCTATGCTACCTCTTTACTTGAGACTTGCCAAACAAGCTTCTATATACCTTAATATCTAGATTTATACAGCTGTTTTACTCAAGTTTTGTATTACTTATGTATTACACTACAGTTCTATAGCTTCCCAATAACCCCTAGTACAACCAAGTTTACAGATCTAATAATTCATTAGATTACACACAGTCTGCTATAACACATTCTGTAAAATTTGAATTTCGTTGCCAGTGGAATTCGAACTCTTGTTCT